TGCCATACCAGATGGCTCCCATGGCACACCCATAGTCACTGCTGGCTTTCTCCCATGACTTAGGGACCAGTGGTCTCGCCCCAGGTCTGTAAGTGCAGGGCCTTCTGTTCTTGAGTACACCCAGCTGCTGCAGATTCCCCATGCCTGCCGCCTGCATGTTCTGGTGGCCCCTGGCTTCTGTCTCAAGATGGTGCCACAAGTCCCTCCTTCTGTGGCTAACTCTCCACAGTCAATTCTCTGCAACAGGCCACATCCCTTGGAGGAACCAGGACCCCTGGGGAACAGACATCCTCCCCATCTCCACACTCACCTTACTACCCCTCCCACTGCTTCATGTACTCTGATCTTCTTTCTCAGTGGATAGACTTGCACTGGGGAATGTCTGGGGACACTGACTTGACACATTGGGCCTTGACATGGATGACAGAGTGTAAGATTCCAGTTGGGGGAGAGGCTCTGGAAGGATGCCTGCATAATGATGACTGAGAGTGTTTGAGATGTTCTGTGTAAAATACACAAATTAAAAAAAAAGCCCATCAATTCTAGTCTGTGTTCCTCAAATGCTCTTGGGGAGCAGGTCTTACTGTCAGAGGCTTGCCAACCTACCATGTGTCACACCTGTAAAGAAAACAGATTTTCCTCCTTCCAGCAGCTTTCAGTTGCCAATAGAAACTCATCTAGGGCTGAGGCTTCTTGCCCATCTCTTCCATCAATGCTGGAATTTTACCTGGCTTGGCTTTTCACAGGTCCTGTGCATGCTGCCATGTGTCCTGTGGTTCATATGTGCAACTATCCTCTGGTGTCTAGACAACATAGTTTCCTTGAATTCATCTACCATCTTTGGCTCCTTCAGTCTTTCAGCTTCTGCTTCTACAATGATACCTGAATAGTGGGAGACAAGAGCTTGATTTAGGTGTCCTATTTAGGGATGAGCATTCTTCAGTCTCTTATTCTCTGCACATTGAATCACAATTGATCTCTGTGTTAATTGCTGTCTGCTACAAGAAGAACTTCTCTAGTGAGAGTTGAGAGATACATTAATCTCTGGGTATAACAATAAGTCATTAAGAGTCAGTTTAATGCTATGTCTATTTAGCAGACTTATTTTCTAATAAAAATTTATGATTGAACAATACCTGTTTGACATATGTAGAATTTATATTTTCTAATGATTGACAGTCTTAGATAAGTTTTAGCTGAACACTTTAGCTTTTCCAGGGATAACTGAAAAAGTCTGGGCTACTGCATTGATCATGGGAGAGAAATTTAGATGGTAAAAGTCATGAACACAGAACTGCAGACACCTGACAGGAAAAGTTTGGCACTATTCTAGTTCCTGCTTTGCTTCCACCCTGAAAATCATGAGGAATTCTACTTGGAATATTTCCACAGTCTGTCTAGATACCAACACTTCTCTTCTAGATGAGCCACACATGGATGAACACTCAGAGTTATTGTGCTTTGAACTTTGACTAGTTATAAAGTTCTTCATTAACCACTTTCCACTGTAAATAGGAGTTGGAGTAGCACAAATCTATGGGTAAAAATATGAATGTTTGGAATGCAGTTTGACAGCATGATTATTTATCAAAAGAACAACAGTAGGTTCCTCACCCCCCCCCCCAGGGTCTGCAGTCTTCCTAGTTATGGGCTTTTGACCAGGTTTATAGTATCAGGCATGAAATACCTCCTGTGGAGCAGGTCTCATATACATTCAAAAAGTAGTTGGTCACCCCTACAACCATAATGCCACTGCTGCACCAATGGGCATATCTTGCTGGCAGGTCAGTATTATAGCATGCAGAATCCTCTGTTTCTACCTCCTACCATCCCAGGCTCAGGGAGCTTCATGGGAGAGGGGGTAGAAAAAGTGTAAGAGCCAGAAGATAAGGAGGAGGGCTGTGAAATGCTGACTTTCAGACATGACATGGCTCTTCAACTCATAGTACCTGTGGTTACCTGCACAAGAACTGCACAAGGTCAAGTCATTCAAAATTCCAGAATTGATGGGGAGGACCTCCTGAGGCCACACTCTTATCAGAAAAGCTATTGGCAGTTGATGGTTGGTAGAAGAAAACTAGTTACTCTCCTTTGGAGATGTGGCCACTATTAAGTTGTTCATGCCCCAGGAAATGGGCACACCCATGTGCATATGGGCAGCACTAATTGGACTCAGAGGATGATTAATAACAAAAAAAAAATTAAAAACATGAAGTTGGGAGGAAGATGGGGTTCAGGCTCTAATGGATATTGGAGGTAGGTAATGGTGGATGAATATGATCACAATACATTGTTTAAATATATGAAACTTTAGAGGAATAAAAATAATTAAAATATTTCTTTTAATATATTATTTGTTTTAGCAGAAAAAAATGTTAAAACTCAACTAAAGTCTACCTCAGTCATTTAGTTTCTACAAATGCACCTGGAAGTTAGGGGTAAATCATTAGCTTTATTCCACTGGATGATCCCTCTGTAGGCACATAGCCTTTATATGTGATTCTGCCTGTGTGCAACAGAAGTCTAACTAGGTAGGTTTCTGTATTTTTAATATACTAACAAAAATTATGGTTAATATAAAATATGGAATTGAATCATCAAAGCAAAAAGAAGATCTTGGTTTACAGAAAACCTAAGAAAGCTGGTGGTTGCTCTTGTGCCTGATTTGTAGGGAATAAGGATCTATGAGCAGGAATATGAGAATTCTTATTTTAGTATTTTTGTTGCTACCTCCTGACATTGTGGACACAGCTTTTCTTGTTGAACCTCAATGGCTTTTTACTGTAGTTTGTGTTTTTAATTTCTAAAATTGTAATTTGACAAATTATAGTTGTATTTATGGTCTATAATCAAATTTTATAACTTATCAAGACAATAGGAAATAGGAGTGTAATCAAAGGCATGCAATGCAAATATCTACATATCTCTCATTTCAGATGTTTATAAGTATCAGCTGACTCAGTAGACTTTGTCAGTTCAAGTAGTAGAATAAAATGGGCATTTTAAAGTTATTCAATTGTTTTAACACTTGGGACGCTCCCTCCACTCCCATTTAGCCTGACTCACTTGGCTTTTGTTCCTCTCAGTCCTGCTGTTAGTTGGAGACATTCTTAGCAGTACTGTTCACCATTTTTTTTCAGCTTAATATCTGACTTATTTCTCAGCTTTCTCCTCCAATCTTTTCACCTGACAAGACCTTGAAGGTCTGTGAAGTGAGTTTTCAAAGATCACTCCCACGACCTAATGAATTAAGAAGGCCCTCAAAATGTTCAGAGGAAATTTAGTTTTTTAAACAGCTATCTTGTGCATGTATTTCTTCGTTTGCATTAATATAATTTGCTAAATATAAACATATATACTTATCATTTGTGCAAATATATTATTTAAACAAGATAAGAGTAAATGGTTTTCACCAAAATTATTTCCCAGTGATAAATGTTGTGTCATGCCCATAGCCTTTCTAGTATATAATTCAGTAATGAACACGACAGTACAAATATCTCTCCAACATGCTGATTATCTTGTCTTTGGATTTGTACTCAAAAGCAGAATTGATGAATTATATGGTGACTCCATTTTTACTTTTTTCAAAAAAATTTTAAAAAAATTAAAAATAATTATTATTTTTATTTTACACATATGTGTGTATTGCCTGCAAGTAGATAAGTGCACCCATGTTGTGAAATGCCTGCAGAGAACAGAAGAGGCTGTCAGCTCACCTCAAACTGGAATTACAGACAGTTGTTAGCTGCCATGTGGGTTCTGGGATTCAAACCCAGGTCTTCTGCAAGAACAACCAGTGTTCTTAACTGCTGAGCCATCTCTACAACCCCCTGTTTTTATTTTTTTGAGGAATCCCCACACTATTGTTCCTAGTGGTAAAAATGTTCTGCCTATGTATCATGTGGCTGCTTCCTGAACTCTATGCCTTACTCAAAAAGCATGGGATTTCTCTTTTTCTTCTCTTTCTTCCTCCTCCTGACAGTGGCCAAGATTTCTAATTTTCCTGTCCTGATGTGTTTCTTTTAACTCTAATAAAATTGTCTACAAGTTAAAAAAAAAAGTGTTTTCCCTTTCTGTGAACAGTGTGCAAGGACTCACCTCTCTCAAGACATTCTCTTGTATTGGTATAATTAGTTGGTTTTGATAAGCACTACCCTGAGAGAAGTGAGGTAATGTGTTATCGTTGTGGTTGTGACTTGGGTGTGATTGTATTTCTCAAATAATTTGTGTTGTTGAGGTCTTTCAAAGGTACCTAACTGCATAAAGAATTTATATATATATATATATATATATGGCATGAGAAATTGCAAACAAAACTGGGACAGTATTCTGCGTAAAATGAGCCAGACACTGAAAGACAAATACTGTATGATTTTACTTACATACATAGTCTAAACACAATTAATTCATAGAAAAAAAGAATAGAATATTGTTCATTAATTGCTAGGGAGGGAAAAATGGGAAGACACTGTCTAAAGAGTGCAGTCACAGCTATGTGATGGACAAATTCCAAGGATACAAGGCACAGCACATATAGTGATGGATATAGGAATTATCTGATTATTATAAGTGTTATTCATCCATCCCATTCTTGTTCTTGAATATCTGCAATCTTTATTTTTCATTAGCGTCTTTTAAAAGCCCTTTCTTGAGAGCTGGATAGAATACATCAGTTTGTGTGTTAACTATAATTTCTAAACTTGTAGGCATTCAATGCAGTTTCCAGTACAGGGACATTTTTCTTTGAGTTCTCTGTCATTATGAAATAAAACTTTTTGCCCTCAATGCTGTGAAGACAATCCAAGCGATTTATTATATTTTAATATGAAGACAAGGAAAGTAAATTTTTTTGAGGAAATAATAGCTGAATATATCTACTTTCTGAACTTCTGACTCAGAAAAAAAATCTTTAAATCAATTAAATCATGATTTGTTTGATTTTTCTTTTCTATCCTAGAATACCTCTTATTCTCCAGCTGGCCTTTGCAGGCTTCGCCATGGCCTTTGATGAATTTCTGCATCACGTAGATGACAGCGGGGGGTTTCAGATTTTGATGACTACCCTTTTCATGATTTTAAGTATACTGACAGCCCCTCATGACTTTGTGGATAACTTCACAGCAGCCATCCCTGCTCGCCGCTGCCGTGTCCATCTTGACAATCCCAAATCTGATATTAATATCACCATAAACCTGACGATGGAAGCCTTGGTAAGAGTTTCCATCCCAATGGGCCCAGATCAGAAACCTGAGCAATGCCGTCGGTTCAGCCAGCTGCAGTGGCAACTTCTAGATCCTGATGCACCAGTTATCAACAACACTGAGCTGGAGACAGAGCCATGCCTGGATGGGTGGACATGTGACCACAGTGTTTTCACTTCTACCATTGTCACTGAAGTAAGACGTTAACAGCTGGTAAAGTGGAGTGAAGGCAGCATGGGTCCTTGACATTAAGTCATCATGTACAGAATAGCTTCTAGCTCTTACAAAATATTGAGACTAAGGGAAGGGACAAGAATCTCTCTCTCTCTCTCTCTCTCTCTCTCTCTCTCTCTACCCCTTATGTGTGTGCAAATATAGCTTTAGTGTTTTCTTCAATACAGATGCAGTTTCAAAGATAAGATTTACAGGCTTTTATCATCTTATATAGGTCTCTATTTTTATACTGAGAATGTAAATCTTTTTGCATATATTTGAAAAGATAATAAAATCACCTCTCTCCAAAATTTTTAACTGAAGATATTATGTGCAAACCTTATAATTGAGTTAATATTCAGAACTCAGATATTCTGGATGAAACCTTTAGACCTATCATTTACTGTTTAGAAGTTTGCTGTTTCTATTCATCAATACTTAAGGCAGGGTAATTTTTACATCTTATTTTTAGGGCAAACCTGATTAATATTGTCATCCAAATATAATTGTTAAACTACTAATTCTCTACCTAATAATTGTTTAGATTAAGGATGTCAATGAACAACGTGTAGAAAATATTCAATAACACAAATCCTGGAGATCATCTCTGTTATCTCTGCTGTGGTTTTGGTTTGCTTGATCTTGTGCAGGTCTTGATCAGGTAACCACAGTGCTTTGAGTCCGTGAGTCTGATAGCTATCTCATGTCCAGAAGACAGCATATCACAGCTCTTCCCCCATTCTACAGCTCTTGTATTCTTTTTTTCTTTCCTTCTGCAATGTTTCCTGATCCTTGGTGGCATCAGAAGGGGTTGGAGATTGATAAAGGTGTCTGATTTAGGGATGAGCATTCAGTCTCATACTCTTTGCATTCTAACCCATTATACGTATCACTGCATTGACTGCTGTCCACTGCAAAAAAGAAGCTTTTCTGACCAAAGATTACAGCAGCCCAGGTCTATGCGTATAAACCTAAATATCTAGAAAGCAATATGACAACATGACCATTGAGAAAAATAGAAACAGCAAGTTCTACTCTAGGTTCTAGAACCTCTTATATCTGGTCTTTTGATCAGGATTACAGTACCAGGCATGAAATTCCTGCTCATGTGGAGCAGACATCAAGTCCAAACAGAATGTATTCAGTTACAGGCAAGCATTCACACACTATTGTACAAATAGACCCATCTGTGTTTGGAAGTTGTTTCATATATCCAAAATCTGTGCCTGTAATATAACTATCTTACATTATACAGAGGATAAGTAAGTCCACTTCACTCAGTGTAGAAATTACAGAACACACCTCCATTCACCGTAATCACCTGTCCATTAAAGAGTAAGAATGGAGCACATTGCTTTCTGGATAATTCCAATCCTTGGCATATTCAAATATATAATAAATTCCTTCCACTATCCCAGTTTATTCCTATAAAATGCTAATTAAGTAAATAACATTGTCAAAAAGTCTATAATAATAAAATAGTAAATAGAAGTAATAATAAGTTAGTAAATAGAAGTAATAAAAAAGCAAATAGAAATTGGCTCTGTGGGATTACCTGGGACAAACAACCTTAAAACCTAAATTCAATTCTAATATAACCCTGAGAGCTTGGTAATATAGGAATTCAACATTTATAAATTTTTGAAACATAAATACTTTTCCATAGGTTCTCAAATCATTGATTTACACTTTGAAAAGATAAAATAGCCCACTTTATAAAACACAAGATATATGCAATTTTTGCTTTGGAATACTGATAATCTTTTTAATTTATATTTTTATTGAGGATTTGTGCATTTTTTATAAAAGAGCTTCATCGAATTTAGACCACCTCCCTCATTTGTACCCCCTCAGAGTCCCCCTACTAGATTTCATGCATTCTATCTTATTTGTTAAGGCTTATCTGTCAAGCATTTGCACTCAGATATCCCTCAGCACAAGTTCATCCACTGGAGACTAGTCAGCCTATCCAGAGTCATTCCCTTAAAGATCTAGTCTCCCTCACGCTCAGTAATTACTTGCCAATACTCCTGTGGCTAAGGTTGAGGCCTGCTGCCCATTTTCCCAGTTCTATGCTGTTTTTGTCTGAGTGATTCAGCATGGGTCTTGTGCATGATATCACCATTGCTTCAAGTTCATATGAACAAGTTCTCAGGGGCTCGAATACTGATGATGTTAATTTAGTAATTAAACAATTATAGTATTTATATGATAGAGGATTAATATTTTACTATTTTGTTTGTTTATCAAAAGAAGTTCAATTGTGTGGTTCCTGAATATGGGATGTGTGTGTGTGTGTGTGTGCGCGCGCGTGTGTGTGCGCGTGCAGGTGTGCTTAACTGGGCGTGCTCATGTGGAGGCAAGAGATGGAATTTGGATATCTTTTTATCATTCTCCACCTTATGTTTTTGAGATAGGTTGTCTCACTGAACCTGGAGCTGGTTATACTGGCTAGCCAGAGAGTCCCAGAGCCACCCACCCCCACCCGATTACCATGTCCTGGGTTTGCAGGAACTTGCAGTGGCCCATGACTTTTGCATGTGTATGTTAGGGATTTCAATTTAGGTCCACTTTGCCTACTGAGCTACCTCTTAGACCCAGCTAAAAATAGATTTTCAAATGTTGTACTTTCTTGATCTGGTGTTTTTGTCGTCCACTCTTGTGGTTTTGGCTTCATTTTTAGCTGTGTGAATGCATAAAAAATGAAGCTTTTAAGCATCATTTTTGTTGTGATGATGAAACTGAATTTGAAGTGGTAACAAGAATAAGTCTATAGCTTAAGTAATTATCTACATTAATCTTAACACTTAGAGAGTCAAAGATTTGATATATACAATTAAGATGTTTAATACCATTATTATTTTAAGTAAAATTCTAAACTAAATATTTTTTTTCTGTTAATATGATTTTAATTAAAGGTACATTAATTTGCAAAAATTTCTTAAAATATCTTGTGACTGGTATTTATTATAGATATAACAACTATATTTCTAGTATTAACACATACTATATTAGCTTTGTGTTTGTACTGAATATATATTAAAACTAAATTTTAGCATGTTATTTGTTACACATTTGCATATATAAGTATCCATATTTGGTATTTAATTTTTTTATTTATTATTTTTACTTTATGTGTATGAATGTATTGCCTGCATACATGTAAGTGTACCTGTGTTGTGCAATGCCCAGGGAAGTCAGAAGAAGGCATCAGGTGCCCTGGAACTGGAGTTACAGAGGACTGTTAGCTGCCATGTGGGTACTGGGAATTGAATCTGAGTCCTCTGAAAGAGCAGGTAGTGCTCTGAACCATTGAGCTTATATTTGGTATTTTGGAAAAATGCAAACAGTCATATGAAATAATTTCCAACTGGTTTATTATGTAAAATGTCAAGAAATGTAGAAGTACAAAGGGGAGATTATATGTCCATTTCACAAAGTGAATCATGAGTTCAGCCCTAGTCCTTGCCCTCTGATCATTGCTTAGTTATCCATCTTTATGTTTGAACTTCCGTTTAATGAATGCTATAGGATCCTGGTTCAGACTTAGGACAGTAATCATTAATTTATCAAAGTCTAAGTATAAACTCATGGTGCTACATGACTTTTGAGGCGATGTGATCGTTGGAAGAACACTGTTTCTATTAAAGGGAATGCTCCAAATCTCCACTTGAATAGCAGCACATTGTTTAGGGACAACTTGTTCAAAACTGTTTTGAGCATCACCTGTCACAAACTGCTGTCTTTCTCAAGCTTTCATTAAGGGAGTCATGTTGAAAACTCATCTATCACAGTAACTCAGTTGCAGAATTTTGATTGTTCTCCATCATCAAAATCTAATGGATAACTTTTATTTCTGTCTTATGAATTCAACCCAAATGTACAGTAACATTATTTCTCCTTTGGGCTTCTCAGTCTTGTTGTTTCTTCAAGCTGCCATAAAAATCCTTAATAAGTCTAAAAACGTTCGTGCTTCTTGACCTTCATCACATGGCCTCTTCCTATATTCTTTCTTTCTTGCTTGCTTGATTTCATGCGTGCTTGTGTGATTGCTTGCTTGCTTTTTGTTTTATGTATGTGAATGTATTGCATGCACGCATGGAAGTGCACCCATGTCATGTAGTGCCCATAGATGACAGAAGAGGATGTCAAATCCCCTGGAACTGGAGTTACGGACAGTTTATTTCTCCTTTGGGCTTCTCAGTCTTGTTGTTTCTTCAAGCTGCCATAAAAAACCTTAATAAGTCCAAAAACATTGGTGCTTCTTGACCTCTTCCTATATTCTTGCTTGCTTGATTTCATGCGTGCTTGCGTGGTTGCTTGCTTGCTTTTTGTTTTATGTATGTGAATGTATTGCATGCATGCATGGAAGTGTACCCATGTCATGCAGTGCCCATAGATGACAGAAGAGGATGTCAAATCCCCTGGAACTGGAGTTATGGACAGTTGTTGACAACCATGTGGGTGCTGGGATTCAAACCTGGGTCTTCTTCAAGAGCAGCTAGTGCTCTTGATAGCTAAGCCATTTCTCCAGTCCGCCTTCCTATCTAACTTCATATAACTTTTAGTTCTTATTTCATTGTCTTTCAATAGAGGATATTTTGTTCATCTCTACTATATAGCGCTATGTACCATAGCTATGATCTTCTTTCAAATGTAAATTTTAAATTTTTAGGTTCACAGTTGAATTAATACAGTTATACAGTATTGAACTCAGTATAAACCATGTAAGACATAAAATTGAATGAAATTTTAATCTTTAAAAGATCTCCATTTCATTTTAAAATATACTGCTTTCTCGAAAGGCTCATTTTTTAATGCTACTAACACTTGGATATTTGCACATGCATCTCTAATCTTTATGTATCTGATTAGGTTCACAGTTGAATTAATACAGTTATACAGTATTGAACTCAGTATAAACCATGTAAGACATAAAATTGAATGAAATTTTAATCTTTAAAAGATCTCCATTTCATTTT